CGGTATAATAGTTCAAGTAATACAGAAAGTGCTATTGATCTAACACTAGTGTCAATTGAAATAGCAGGCATTAGTGCATGGGAAGTAATTGGTAGGTCGACAGTGGGTAGTGATCACTATCCAATAATAACTAGGATTGGCATAGAGGTACACCAGGATGGGGAAGTGAAAATACCAAGGTGGAAATTAGATAAAGCTGACTGGCAGACATTTCAAGAAATTAGTGAGACTAAGTGTGTGGAAATACTGAGTAGAGATATAACAGATGTGGAGGAAATTAATAGTGTAGTAGTCGCAAACATTATACAAGCAGCAGAAGAAACAATTCCTAAAAGTACAGGAAATGAACGGGGGAAAAGCGTGCCGTGGTGGGATGAGAGCTGTAGAATAACAGTTAAAAGAAGAAATAAAGCATTTAGACAGCTTAAAGATTATCACACACTAGAAACTTTAATTAGCTACAAAAGGGCACAAGCAGTAGTTAGGAAAACGATTAGGTTAGTCAAACGCATGTATTGGAGACAGCATTGCAATAAAATTGGAAGTGAAACTCAGTTGTCAGGCATATGGGGAACAATCAGAAGAATGAGTGGATTAAGTAGAAAGGTGGAAATGGCAGTGTTATGTAGCAATAATAAGAATGCAGTTAGTAATGCAGAAAAAGCAGAGCTTTTGGTAGAAACTTTTGTGAAAATCCACAGTTCTGGAAATGTATCCACAATAGATAAGCAGCATAGGAATCAGACACTGTTGGAAAACCCTGGAATAAAAGAAAGTAGATCTGCATCAAGAGGAGATACGGACCTGCCTTTTACTATGTTTGAATTAAAAAGGGCTATCTTAAATGCGCGACAAACAACACCAGGGAAAGATGCTACTGTATATGTTATAGCATGCTAGGGCATATGAAAGATGTATCACTGGAGGTAGTATTAAGGCTGATCAATATGATATGGAATGCAGGTAGAATCCCGCTTGAATGGAAACAGGCAGTGATAGTCCCAATACTCAAACCTGGTAAGAATGCTTTAGACCCGTCAAGTTATAGACCTATAGCGTTAACATCACAATTAGGGAAAGTCATGGAAAGGATGGTAACCGATAGGTTAAGTTACTATATGGAAGGTAAGGGTCTCTTTTCAGTGTATCAGTCTGGATTTCGTAAGGGTAGGGGGACAATGGACTCTGTTTTGTGCTTAGAAGCAGAAGTTAGGAAAGCACAAACTAATAAGGGAAGTGTAATTGCCGTGTTCTTTGACGTCGAAAAAGCATATGATATGCTGTGGAAGGATGGACTTCTTATTAAACTTGACAAATTAGGAATAAAAGGTAAATTATTCGGTTGGGTATTAGACTTCCTGGACAGAAGAACAATAGAAGTTAAGGTTGGTATAGAGTATTCAAGTAGGCATATAGTGGAAAATGGTACCCCACAAGGTAGTGTTTGCAGCCCCATACTGTTCAATATTATGATAAATGACATTTTTGATCAGGTAACCAATCCACTGCCAGAATACATGGGCTACTCCATCTTTACCATGCTGTGCTGCTGTATGCCTCTGGGATCAGCTGCCCTTGTTTACTCCCTCACAGTAAGTAGTTCATATACAGTCTTATATACTTCATTTAACATATACTGTACATACCTGTCTTTTGTATATACAGTATATTTACAGTGCATTCAGAAAGTATTCAGACTCCCTTCACATTTTCAATTTATTTATGTTGCTATCTGATACTACAACTGTTTAAATTATTTTTTTTCTATTAATCTACACTCCGTGCCTCATTATGACAAAGTGAAAACAGAATTTTAGAAGTCTCTGTAAATGTATTAAAAAGAAAATCTGAAATATCACATTTACATAAGTATTCAGACCTTTTACTCAGTACTTAGTTGAAGCACCTTTGGCAGCAATTACAGCCTCAAGTCTTTTTGGGTATGACACAACAAGCTTTGAACACCTGGATTGCAGACCCAGTCAGGATTGTTCGTTTACTGGTGATTTAACATCATGGATTGATGTTGATATTTTGATTGTAACTTTTCATAGATTTAATGTTGATTTATAGGCCTTTTTTAACCTTTCTTCATGCGTTTACAATAAACAATGTTACAATGTTTTTTAATGTAAAAAAATAACAACTGACAGTATTTCAACCACATTTCAACATTAAAGGTTAGTCTCATGCTGACTGGGTTACATCTGAAGATGCATGCTCATTCAAGATTTAGCTTATTATTAACTATTTTTGACATGCTCAGATTATGTACATCATGTGAAGTATGACAAGTGTCTCTCTGTATATTTGTGCGACTCAGAAATACAGTTTTGTGGCTTCCCGTAACTTTCGCTTATAGAGAAAGAGGTGTGGCACCGCAGAACAAAAAGGGAAGTCTTGTGACTTGGTTACCCCTTATGAAAAGTTGCAAATATCTTCAGTTCATTCTTCCATCCGCTGAAATGGGGTTTAACCTTTAAATACTTACAAAGTGCTTTCATAAAACAATTAGATTATTTATCAAAAAGTCTATTTTTATTTCCTTCAACAACACTCCAACTTTTTTTGAGACCACGGTCAAAGCGTGTAATTATTTTTTTTTTTTTTGATAAGGAAAACCTCTCTGTAACAGCCTTCAGAGTATAAACATGGAAGTGGAGCTTCCTGGTTTAGTGTGTAAGAAAAAAAACTTTTTTAGAAAACAGCCTTTAAAGATATATGATTTTCTCCTTTCCATTTGTGTAATGTTTTCTTAGTGATTTTATATCCTGACCTGTGAATCCCTTAAATTACATTTTTATGCATGTTATTTAAGAAAGGGACTATAAAGGTAACATTGTAACATTAGTGTTTTTTTTACAGACTGGAGATGCTAACATGTTTGGACACCAGCAAATAGCCAGCAGAAACTCCAGAATGGCATGCATAATCAACCATATCATTGTTGCTGTTGGCGTAATCTTTTGTTTGATTTATATAGTTTGCATCATTCTTCCTGTTGTCACAGTTACACGACATTCACAGCTTTAGACCATAATTGTAAGCAATCTCATGCAGGACACCAGAAAGTTGAAGATAGTAAGGGTTTTACAAATAGAAACACCATATGTTTCAAATACAAGCACATTTGTGGTTCTGCTTTTAAATGTTAGTGTTGCTCAAGTTATTTTTTTGTATGATAGCTTTTAGACTTTTTACTGTATGTATGAGGAGCTCCATCCAGAGGACCAGTGAGGAATGATTCAGCATGTTTAATGACACAGACTCCTCACCATATCATTGTTAATACATAATTCAAACAAATGCTTTTTAAAGTTAACTATTTTATGTTTTTTTTTTTTAATTAAGCTTTAACTGTTAACGTAAATGCAGCATCAATTTATGTTTGTTTTTCTGCTTGTCTTTATATTACATAAAACTTGGAATAATCACTAACAAATGCCGGATGTCATGTTTTAACTTTTACCAGAGTCTGTTTTTGCCATGATACACTTACATTTAATTTTTTCTTGTTTTTAGTTTACTTTATAATTCATCAACTTCTTCTTCTTACCTTTTTTAACTCATGGGTTCTCCAGGGTGGCTGATTTTACAATTAAAGACCTCAAATAAAAAAAATGTCTTGTAACAATATTTATCTGTATTTATTGATATTATCTAGTTATCACAAAAAGC